TAAAAGAATCAAACAATGCAAAGGAAAAAGTTATAGGCAATTATTTATCAAAAGGTCCAATATATACAATGATAACAAAAATGTCTAAGAAACGTAAGTATCGTGATCAGTGATGAAAGTTACTTTAATATAGGATATTTGGCTGTGCCTATCTGGAAGCCACTGTAGCGGTGGGTCAGCACACTAACTGTGTTTAATTTATATGCAGCACATGACAGCCAGTGACACCAGATACATTTTGATTTTTCAGGTTGCTCAAAACGGAAACGTATATGGTTTTATGCTTTGACCATAACCAGAAAACCTGCTAACGAGTGTAAATCACTGCCGAGACAACAAATTTCAATTAAACCACCGAAAAACAAAGGAGAACAAGGGTGAAAAGGGTATTAAACGATTTCCGACCACCCTCATTTTATTATATGTTTCCCCTTTTTCCCCAGCTTACGTAAAAAGGAAAAATAACACAGAAAGCTAACAAAGCGAATTGAGTTCGCAAATAAAATATGTATAGGCTGTGAGCATGGCTATATTGCATTGAAATTGGCTGGCAACTTAATTTAGCCGGGCCCATTGCGGCTGTCAACGGACTTGGTGTGTTGTATCTGTGTATCTCTGGGATACAACGACAGATAGTCCGACCAATGTCCACTGTTGACCCATTTCATCTGCACGATTAACTCGTTCTGTTTTAGTCAGCAAGCCAAGTCAAGTTTTGATACTACTTCGCCTTCTATTTTTCTCTTTGCTTCTATTTTGAACTCTGCATCCGTGTGGTGGTAAAACATATATAAAAAGAGGTACCGCATGCGAAACTTAAAACCAACGTCATTGGATTTAAATTTAAATATTTTTTAAAAGTTTTTACGCGAAAATGGACTTACGGAATTGCCATAAAATAATGTTTTATTAAACATTTAATTCATTGCTTTTGAACATTAAAATTAAACACGAAACTTAAGTACAAGACAATTTCATAGCGATTGCAATGTCACTTCCATTTCTTAGTAAAGATTGAAGACTATTTTGAAGTGTGTCATTATAAAAATGTTCGTAAACTTGTTTTGCCCACTGTAAGTTTCTATATACATATGGTTGAAAACTTTTTTACATTTTTTTACAGTTATACCCTTTAAAGCTTCAAGTACTGAGTATATCTACAGAACCTAGTTCACCACAAACTGTTATGATAAATATTTAAGCCGAGCCTTTGATTTTAAAGCCGAACGTCAAATAATGATGTCAGAAGGGCGGTTTGAGTTGCCAATAAATAAACGACCGGCTATGCTAAGAAACGGGTATTTTAAACGACTTCGGTTGCGTTCGCAGTCAAGTGAGCTGCCGTCGCTGGCTTATCTCTGCCGCTACCCCTCACCAACCAGCCAACTGATAAGGCATGTAAGCGATGTGTATAAATAGAATATACAGTCAAAACTCCTAACAAGCGAACAAGCACAACATCAAAAAGTTACTTTTTTAGTTTTTATATTCGGGACTTATACAGGGAGAACCCTTTTTAAACTAACTTCAAAAAGACTGCAATTTGATAGTTTATTTAAGTCAACAATAAAAAAATTAATTATAAGAGTGATGTTTGTGCGACAAAGGTTTCTCCTGTGCTCATCGTTTATCTATTTGATTTCTGGCTGTTGCAGTCGAGATAAAGATACGGGGACCGTTATGTGAACAGAGTAGCAATACTACTCGTTCCTCCTTATCATTAACCTTTTCAATTTTTCGATAAGTCGTTGTTTTTAGTTTCGGTTTTTTTGCGGAGTATTATTGCTGGCGAGTTTCGTCACTACGCAAATAGAGATACGAAGTACGGAATACGAAAATGTGCTGACCTCATGAAGCGATAAAAATTAAAAGTCAAGTAAAGCGAAAAATAACAACAAACTTGCCTTATAACAGAATTTCGAGAAAATCGAAAGGGAAATCTATTGAAAAATCAACATTCACACGCAGGACGAGACGAAAAGAGAGAGACAGTGCGAGTGCGGGTGGAAAGTGGGGGTTTTATGGGTGGCAAGTTAAACAAATGCAATGACCTGAATTTGGAGCGTTGTGTGCAAGGAAATGTGAAAAAGGGCGATAAGAAGATGCGAAACAAAAATCAAGGAAAACGAATTCAGTATAGCGATAAATACCAAGCTAATAAAATATAAGGCTTAACTTGGTGCTTTATTTTATTTCAAATATATTAGGACCAATAAATAATAATAAATTACTTGATGAAATATTGCAAACGAAATGCTTTGGACGAATATTTTTTTTAGATTTAACAATTCTCTAATATTAATATCCAAATCCAAAAACAGTTTTATTTGTTACTCATATTTATTCTGCAGAGTTGACTGTGGTTATTTTATAGATGGAAGATAGATCTGGTTTTCTTCACGAAAATAATTTGATTTCAGTTAAGCCTTTCAAGTGTGCTGCTTAGTATGTTAAGCAAATTTCTTTTTTAAATTAACTCGCTTAATTGTCTTAACGATGTTTCAAAAGGTGTCTTAAAAGAATACAGAATGAAAAAAAAGTAAAACCCTTTAAGGCAATCTGTCTGTCTGTTATTTCAAGACCGCGATGTTTATTTATATACTGTTAAGGTTAATAGAAAATATATACAATAATTTGAGAAAAAAATAAACACAAATGAAAAAAAAAAAAATAATAATAAATCACATTGTTAAAAATGTATTTGTTTCTGTCACTTCTTTAGCTATCGAGTAGAGTTAAGATTCCTTACTTATGCTAAAAAAATAACTTATTCAAAATTTTATAAACAGTGGTTGAAAATAACTAATTTTTTCGACTTAGCGAAAATATTTTAATGCCATGAATACTGGTAAAACGTAACAAATTTTTGTGTAAGCTGTTTCCTTTTCTTTGTATAAATATAAACAGAATACCAGCTTGTATAGTTTATTTAAAACTGTTTTTTGATAATTAAAAAGTACATTCACTTCTCACTGTGCACAGTGTTCAAATATTTGGAATAAAGACATGACAATTTGCAACAACAGAAACGATTCCAAGGTAGAATTTTCATTCACAACACTCCCCGCTTACTTAACCCTCTGGGTTCGCTCTTGTTTTAATGGCATGCATGCCCGCACTCAGAGTGTTAAAAAGGTAAACATGTGTTGCCAAAACACGGAGAACGAAGCCCCAACGAAAGTAACGGCACAAGGCGCGGCACCTGTTTACCGAAAAAGAAGAGAAAGAGGGGGACGGCCGAAAAACCCTGGCTCCCAAGTGTGAGCATGTATGCGTGAGCTGGGAGGCTGCGTGTCCTTGTGCCTGGCCCAACAACAATAATGGGAGAGGGCGCTCTAAAAGGGGGTGGGCGGGGGAGCAAAGTCTACACTTGCCTTCTCTCTCTGTCTCTCTGTCGTCCAGCTCAGCAGCGATGTAACGGTGTGCGTGCGCGGTTAAGGTGGTATGTGTGTGTGCTGGAATTTACGTGCTTATTGAATTTTCAGCGCAGAGAGTTGCGCAAAAAACAAAGAAAACCCGTTGAGTTTGTTGCTTTGAACAACAATTAAATTAAATTTAATTAGAACCGCGTCGGCAGGCTGAATTAGCTCAATTTCTAGGTGTTGTTTTTTGCCCAGCTGCGCCCTTTACACAGATGCAGATACACACTCACACACACAGACGGGCGTAAGCCGAGAATTTTTCAGTGCGAAAAAATTTACAACTTCGCTGTCGCGGCAAATCAGATCGAAAAATCAAGTGGATCGCGCACTTCTGCATTTAATCGGTTGGTTGGAGTAGCCCGCACAAGTCCCCTGATTTCCTATTAATTTTTTCACTGCATTCTAATCTGCCACAGTACGTGCAGTCCGTTCGCGCTGACTTCGGGAAAAAAACTCAGATACTCAGATACCCTTTGGCGCTACATTGGGGATATCGAATATTCTATCGACTATACCTGGCATATCGATATGACTTCGCTATCGACGTTGGTTCCCCTAGGTTAAGAACTTGGATGATATAGCCAATTTCCTAACCGAAACTGTAGTTCTTCCATTTCAATCAGAAATGGTAAAGTATAAACGGTTTTTAACAAAAATGTTAAGCTCAGATACTCGTTGTCGCTTCTATGACCATACCGAAAATTTGAATATGTGTTAATGGCATTTCGATTTGAATTTGGTATCGACGTTGTGATCCCCTGGTTGAGAACTTAGATAATACAACTGTGGAGCGAATCTCCGCTACCATCGGGGTAGCACTGAAAGAAATGTTTGCTTACATGAGTCCCAAAAATAATAATTATAAAAGGAAATATATATATATACATATATAAATATACATATTTAGTGAAGCTTAAAGACAGAGACAACTATATGGATACTGCTTGAAATTTGTTTGCTGCCTTAAAATTAAAGATTTTCAATTTTTACCTTTTACCTGAGTTTTTCAAAATTCAGAGAATATTTTTAACAATCTTTAGTCGCTGACGGGTTTTTAGGAAACATCACTTTTAAATTTATGCTTGAATTTGTTTGATTTTATTTTTCTTGGTAACTATTTAAAAATTGAATGTTTACTTTTTAGAGCGTACGCATTATTTGTTCTTAATCTTCTACATTTTATTTACTTTCTCGCCATCGCTCTTGCCTGTTTCACACACCTTTTTAATTATCTCTCTGTAGTCGGTATATAAGGCTTTATTTTCAAGTTGAAAGAAGGGTTTATTTGAAATTCCGCTCAAGTTAAAATACAAATTTAAAGAAACGTTTTCGATAGCTATTTTTTTCACATTTTTCAACACGAATTCTAGAAACTGCACAGCACTGCCTCATCAGCAGTCCACTGGAATTTAAAATGTCTTACTATTTGTAGATGTTGGAGCTAAACTTATTTGAATATATCGTTTCCTCTTTTGTTCTTTTAGAATCTATTTTTTTTTATTCTATAAAAAAAAAAATTCACTGAACTCTTTAGTCTATTGAACTCTATCAGCTATTGTTTGATAAAATAAAATAAAATAAGTTCAGAAATAATTGTATATTTTTCAGAGTTCTAACAGAATGTTTCACAATTTATAAAAATCGAGTTACATACCAAATATATAATTTAACCGTACATTTTGGATGCATTTAACAATATAAATCGACTGCTAAGCATGAGTGGAAAATTCGCAAAATAAATCAATGAGATATTCTGGCCAAAAATAGAAAACGTCTTACTTCTTTGCTTTGGCCTTTGGTTTTGAGGTAGATGCTGCCTTTTTTGAACCACCAGCTGCTTTCGACGTACTGGAAGCGGTGGTCTTCTTTTTGGCCTTAATCAAACCATCCAGCTCGAGGTTGTCTTTGTCCTCGTCTTCTGAAGAGAGGTGATCACCAGCGCCGTCCTCATCCTCTTGACCTTCGCCCAAGTAATCGTCATCCCCGCCACCAGCCTCAGCTTTTTTCTTTTTTATGCCTGCCTGAGCAGAATATGAGTATGCCAACACCTCCTTGTTGTAGGTGCGAGTTAGGGCTGCTTTCACCCTTCCATCAACCGAATCCAAAGGCGATTTCTTGCCCGGCCAAGAGGTTAGCTCGACCAGCGAGTCCAGATCTTCGCGCAGTAGATGGTAATCCTTCATTACCTCGAGTGCAGCTTGCACTCCCTCCTGTCCGTTCTTCACCAGTGGCCGCACAATATTATCCAGCAGGAAGGGTGCATAATCCAGCCTAACGGATAGCCTCGAACCTGAGGTGCAGACCCTGGTGTGATCGTGCAGCTCCTGGGCAAGTCTGGCCCGTTTTCCGGACCTCGAATTCTTGCCCAGCCATCCGGGGAAGTTTATCTGTCCGGTGAAGTGACCGCACATGTGTTCTCCAGGCAGCACTGAGCTGAAAACAGCCTGGGTTGGCAGCAGACTCCACGCAGAATTGGCCCGAATGCGCTTATCGACTAGGTCGCCCAAGCTGAGGGCATCCGCCGTGGCAGCCACCTTGGCCAGAACATCCAACCTGGAACGGGGGAATGTGAATATTTGTATTTTCTTTAATGCATATTTTTATCTTCTTTAATAGCCAAACTTACTTGTTTCCCTGTGGCGAGACCTGAAGGTAATTTTGCTGCACAAAGAGCGGTGCCAGGCTGTAGTCGTGGAAAAAGAGGTCACTCTTATCGGCCAGGGACATGTGCTTGTGATCCTCCGCCGTAAAAACTTTCCGTACCACTTCCCAGGGTCCCAGCTTCAAATCCTTGGTGGCTACTTGTTGCCCAGTTTTCGATGAAGAATTTTCTTCTTTGGCGCTAAGCAGAGCAATATGATTGATGGATTGCCGGATATCGTTGTTGGTGGCCGCTATGATTTCCTCCACTTTGGCAGGTGAGATCTTCACCTTCTCCTTAAAGCAAATGCTCATGATTTTACCCTTGATCTGCTCGAGACGCGGCCTCTGGAAACGCAGATCGTAGCAATAGTTGACCAATGATCGAATTTTCGGATGATTGCGATCATTACACATGCAAATGATCGGAATGGAGCTTTCCTTGATCAAGGCGATCAGCTCCTGCATTCCCCCGCGATCCTCGTTGCCGGCCATGCCATCCACCTCGTCCATGATGAGCACGTGTTTCCGGGAGACCGCTTGTCCCTGGCCGCTAAAGTATCCGGAAAGTGACTTGTTGCTCAGTAGCGTCGATACTTCATCCTTGAGCAAACGTTTGCTACGCGTGTCGGAGGCATTGAACTCGACCGCATCGAATCCCAGCTCCTTCACCACCAGAGTCGCCGTTGTGGTCTTCCCTATTCCAGGCGGTCCCGAAAGCAGAGCCGCCTTGTAGAAGCTGCCATCATCGTTCTTGGCCCAGGGATTGGGTCGTTGGGGCTTCTTATTTCCGTCGTGGTTTGTATACCACTTGGACATCCAGTTCATCAGTCTAGAAGAGTAAAAATAAATTTAATATTACATTTAAAAACAAAAATATTAAGACTTTTACAAGTCACAAGATCGAGTTGTATTTATTATTTCAGTCAGAAGTTTGCAACGCAGTGAAGGAGACATCTCCGACTTTTTAAAGTATATATGTATATATCTAGTCATGTCATGTGTATATGAATTTCGGCTTTCCGAATTTAGCTTCCTTTCTTCTTTTAATGTTTACTTACTCAACTCTATCTATGAATATACATCTGTACGTATAATTGTTTAGAACTGGAAAACTTGAATTTATAGCCTTGCTATGAAGTAGTTTTGTTTACAGGTATAGTTTAAAAATCTATCGTATTTGATAACTATATCATCGATTTACCTCAAAGAAGCTTCAATAAAATGGGGCGAATTAAATTACACCAAATTGGTTTAGACAAAGTACATATGTATACATTTGCAACTATTACAAAAACAAAATAATTTATAAGACAACTATATCAAGACCAAGGATCTACATACATACATAACATATATACTTTTAGTGTAAATTTTTGACTCTCTCTCTTCAAGAATATGACAAATATTAATGAGTCACAAAAATATTTGTTCATAGGATATCATTAACATTTTTCCTATTGTTTCAACTACTCACTTGGTGACGTTGCTAGCGGCTCCTGCCTGGCCAACGATTTCTTTGATATTGGTGGGTTTGTGCTTGTCCACCCAGGCCATGCCGACCTCATCGTGGGTCTTCGGTTCGGTTGTCCTTGGCACCGGTGCCTTTGGTTCCTGGGAGCTGGGTTCCTTCTTGACTTTTAGGGTTACTGCTGGCACTGTTTCATCGTGCTGCTCCTTCTTTATCTTTAATGAAGTGTGCTCCTCCTTGGAGGCATTATGTTTCTCAATATTTTTGGGCTTAATGTCTTGCTTCTTTTCCTCTTTAACTTTAGAACTGCTGGATGTCTTGACATCCTTCTTTTCCCTTTCCTTCGAACTATGCTCCTCCTTGGGGCTCTTTTTCTCCACCTTTATCTGCTTTGGTTGCCCTGATTTCTCCCTGATCAGATCGAAGAGGCCATCCTCGCTGAGAATGGGTATATTGAGCTCTTCAGCCACGGCCAATTTCTTGGGTCCCGCCTCTTCACCCACGACCAGATACTTAAGTTTCTTTCCCACCACGGTCATCACCCTTCCGCCGTACTCTTTGATTACGGCTTCCGCCTCCTCGCGCTCCATGGACTCCAGAACGCCGGTGACCACAAAGGTCAATCCACTTAGGCAGTCGGGTGAACCCTTGGGGATTTCCTTGCTGCCGGGATTGAGGCAACTGCTGCGGTTTTTGTACTTCTGATACAGCACGGCTGTCATGCGTTTCCGCTCGTGGCGTTCTTCGTCGGATATGACGCTGGATTCCAGATCGGCAGCAGGCTTCTCCTTCTTCACACGCGGAGTGGAGGCTTTGGGTTTGGCGGACTTGACTTTGGCCGCTTCAGGACTGGCTTTCTTGGCTCTTTTGGGGGATGGAGAGCTCCTGTTGGTCGGTGGTGTAACCTTTTGCACCGGCACAACCTCTTTGATACTCTCCTCCAGATCGACTTCCATTAAACTCCGGTCTATGTCCTCGTTTTCGAACTCGATTACCGCCTTAGTCTTCGGTTTGGGCACAACCACCCGCTTGGTTTCCCCACCAAATAGCTCCGAAGGATCCACGTGCCTTTTAAGCTTGGATAGGGACGGTTTTTGGCCATTTTTGGCCTTCTTGACTTCCGGAGTGGTGGCCGCCACTTCATCCTCGCTGGATGCAGCTTTGGAGGCCTTGCGTTTCTTGGGCACTTGCGGACTGGCGGCCACCTCATCCTCGTCGCTTGAAATGATTACGGCCTTGCGGCGTTTTGGCGCCTTCACCGGCGTCTCTCCGTTTTCATCCTCGGCTTTTTTCGGCTTCGCAGGCACCCGCTTGAAGATGGTGTCGATGCACTGGAACGATTAAATTGAATTAATTGAAGCTCTGTCTGTGTACCAGTCGGTCACATACGCGCTGCATTGCGGCACTTTTTTTTGTATTGACGAATTTAAGTTGCTAAATTCAGCGAGGGTGCAATGTAGAGATGGAACAAAAATATTTGTTTAGTCGATACTATGGGCAGCAAAATCTGGCAGCGCCATCAAGGTAATATTGCGAGTGCTGCCAGATGTTCTTTAGTTTATATCGATACTTCCAGAAGAGCGATGTTTTCAATGCAGCAATCGATTACTTTACACTGTGTTTTTAGTCACCGCCAACAACATGGAATGCACGCACTTTTAAATATCTCAAATCGACACAACTATATTTATGTAATATATGGGCAGGCCTAACTTAATGTTACAAATAGTCTGCTTCTGTTACAATTATCTGCTTCAAATTGCATAGCACTGTTTGTCAAACGGTTGGGCTTGGGATGTACCTAGATACTTGTACCTAGGTACGAACCTAGTTTCAATTTGTTATTACCTTGTAACTGTCCTAATTAAAATATTATGAAGCTACCTTTTACCTTACCTAGGTAAACATTTTTATTTACCTTAAGAAAAAGCTCTATGAGGTATTTAAGTACTGAAATAATTTGATTAATTTTTGTTTTCACCTAAAATTAATTTTATATTGTTTTCGCAAATATGCCAGCAATAAAAGGCATACTTCTTTTCACAAATACTTTGTAACTTGTTTCGTTCATGTCTATCGGTAGACACAACAACTTTTAAAATCTAGTTATTATTTTCGGAGTTATTGTGTTATTAAGTCCTCTGTTGCCGCTCTACTGCTGTTAGCGGGGATGGGGTGCTGCACGCGCTTAGCTTCTAGTGTTGGCAATGCATTTCGACAGATGGCGCCAGCTCAACGTCGATTGTTTTGTGGGGGAATATTTAGATTTAAATTTGTTATCTGAGTAATCTGGGTATCTAATAATCGGGAAACTCGACTATATCGTTCTTTCTTGTTTTTCTTTTTACATAGGATGCTTTTTGTAAAATGTAAACAAAATATAAGCACAAAAAAATGGTATAAAGAAATGAAGACATAACTGTTCGGAATGTTTGTTATTTAATGATTGATTCTGATAATCTAAAAAGTAAAATATATAACTTTGCATAAATTTTTAGTTAATTTCTCAAAATAGATAAGACCTTTACTTTAGTTTTTAGATGTTTCAGTCCTCATTTTATTGAGAAATAGTTAGTTTAGTTTATAATTTATGTAACAATAGTTGTTTCTAGGACAATTGTTTCTTGGGTGAACCTATTATTTGGTTATTTTTAGCGAATTTTCAGTCCAATAGTTTAGTTTTATTAAAATCGGATGACCATATCATATAGCTGTCGGTCATGCTGACGTAAGCTTTTTTATGCAGCGTAAAATTTATTCTTATAAGGTTCCCTCGTCCGCTATTGGAAGAATTAAGTCAAAATTTGTATGCTCTATTTAGAGAATTGTGCAAAATCGCTTATTTTTGCCTTAAATGAGAAGGCGAAATTTTGTCTATATGTTCGAAAAACGACAGAAGGATTAAAACTTCAGTTTGCAGAAGCTAGCTTTCTTTCTTGTTTTTTTATACTTGTTAATTATTATTATTATGCATTTTAACTGTCATTACTTATTTAAAGTTAAATAATGTAAAAGCTTGAGTTCTGAGTAAATTAATGTGGAATCTAACAACTACAAAGATGGCAACTCCTGATTGCAGCAGCAAATTGCTTCGTACAATCAATGCCAAAGCAAAAATTTTAACAAATCAGCTTACATACTTTTTCATTTTACTTGTTATTTGACGTATGCTCTATCAATCTTCCGCTAATGCAATGCAATCTAATCAAATCAAATCAAATCGGAATAACATCATCAACGCCACTTTACATCGCCCCGAAGTCAAATCCCCCGGCACTCTTCGTCCGAAAGCGTCCCACAAGCTGTTAAGTTGCATTTACAGGGCATTAGGCCGCCTTCCCCCGATTTTTTCGATTTCCCTTGGCGGTGGCCAACCCCCTTGGCCAACTGATTACACGCGCAATTAAGGGTTGCGGCCAGGGCAACTGGCACAGGCACCACTCCTGCCACCCAGGGGCCACCCACCCAACGGCCTTGCTGGCGGCGGTTGCACGTGCTAAACGCCATCAAATGTCACCCTTGGGGCCTATGTGAATAATCATCGCTTAACACCGATTTTGATTAAATTTCACATAAACAAACAAGACTGATAAGAAAAAAGGGGGTTACAAAACAAAGAAACTCATGCTAAGCTCATTCCCAAGTTTGTGCTTTAAATTTAGAGAAAGCCATAACACAAAATTAAAAATTAAAAAATTAATTACCGGCCAATATAATAATTTCAATATAAAATTAAAATGTTCGAAAAAATAAACACAAAGAACATCATATAATTTTAAATGTTATTTCTGTAGTTTTTGATCTAATTTAAAACTAATAAAAATGCAGATACTTATAATGATAAGAATTTTAGTAAATAAGTACAACTTTTGGTGAAGAAAGTTAAATTGAGATAAACTCAAAATTTTTTTTTTGTAAGATGGCATAGTCGGCATGAGCATTTCAATATAAAATTGAAAGGTTCAAAAAAAGAAATATTTTTTCTGTGGTCTTAAAAAGTGTTAACTGGTTGCACACAACAAGTGGAACTCAGAGCCGGATGAAAAACTCCGGAAAGTTGGGGAGAATAGTTGGCGGATAGTGGAAAAGGGTTTGGTTTTCTTCATCCAACTGACATCCTGACTAATGCGAGACCGCATGTTAAAGTTCCCACACGTAGCAACTACTCGGGGGAAGGCTTTGAATATAAATTGACTTTGGGTAGATTTCGTTTGGCAGGACCTTAAATTATGCGTGGAAAGTCACAAGTAAATAAATACAAATCGGGGGGTGGTCCGGTGCCACCCCCTTTCGCACGGATTTATTACATTTGCATTTGATTTCCCCGATTATGTGACATTTTTTTTGGCCAGAGTATTTAAGTCATGATGGGGGTGTGATTAGGGAGGGGTAAAAAAACGGGCGAGTTACTCTTTATTTTCGCAGGCCACTAATTCGAGAATGGCGTGTGATAGCCAGCACTTGTTCTCCCGTCCTTCCCTGCTGTCTCATTTATTGATCATTAACACTGGCTAATCCCCCCCCGCCTACGCCGCTGACCCCCGTTTAATCATGATTAATTATTTTGACGCATTATTTTGATTCGATATTTATCAAAATGTCGCAAAATTGCGCTTAGCCTTTTATTATGTTTGCTTAGCTGATTAATCATTGAACTGAGTTCATGCTAATGCTGTTGACTTCACTACCAGACCCCCTTGCCGCATTCAACCTTTCACCCAACTTCTTTTGTTTACGAAGTGGGTGGGAGAATTAATTTTTTGGCTTTACTTTTTATGTAAATCAACCTGTTTCAGGCTTAACCAATAAAAAATGGCCATTAACTTAGCTTGAGAAACTAGCCAGAAAAGTGGGGTATTAAAATAGCTTTAGGAGAAAGTGTTTAAGTTTACATAAAGCATAGTACACAATTCGTTTATTCAATTAAGTCATCTATTTAATTAGTTCGCGTTCTTCCTCGAAATACCCCACTCAAGCAAGCACCCCATTATCTAAACCTTCAACAATTATCATTAATTTCCTTCAAACACAAGACCCTAAAAGGTTAATTACCGACCAACCCACAGCAGCACTCAACGGAATCGAACCAAGCCCAATTGAAGAGAAGAGAACCCCACACGGAGTGCGATCGCTGGGGAAACAAGTTTCCCATGGGCAGAAATTAATAAAATTTGCAATTTACAATTTGGAAGCGACTTATATATCAATGGGAAAACATGGCGCAATGTGCGCGGAGAAAACATGTTCAACAGTTAATAAAACAAATAATTGCATCGTGTGTGCAATAAAAAGAAGGTTAAACGTGGCCATAGAAGCCCCATTGCAGACTAGACAGAGAGCGTTATATTGATGCAGAGTGAGAGAGGGAGAGGGTCGGACGCAGAGCCAACAACAACTAATCATCAGCAGCAGGAGCAGGAGCAGGAGCAGGAGCAGACTTGAACGCAGACGTCGCGCCAATTGGAATTGCAAATCTTCCAGGAGTGGAAGCGAGAAAGATACACATATCTATATGGAAAGGAGGATGGAGGAACATGGACTTGGAGGCGATTCTGCAAGGATTCCGAAGATCAGTGGCGGTTCCATTGAGCTAGAAGGTAGGCCAAACAAGTGATACGGATAAACGGATATACAAATAATTAAAGGATAATTAAAACTTTACCATATAATTTTTAAAATTTTGAAATTAAGTCCATCAATATAATATACATGTTATAACCAATAATTTTATGTTTTACGTTGTTGTATATACGCTCAAAAATGGTTAAATGGTTAGAACAGTTGAAGTTCATCAGCACAAACATGATGGTTAAACAAATTTTATTTTAAAAATCTCTTTAAACACGAAAATGGTTTATAAATAATGGATAGTGAGTGACTGAATAATAGCACTATAAATTAGTAATGTTATTAATTCATTCAAGTATAATATGACAATTTTCAAATGTAAGTCTAACCTATACCATTCAATACCATACCATACTTTAGTGACAACAATTAATTTATTAATTTTTTTCAATCAATTCCTTTTAAAAATACAACTAGGATTACTATTCATATTTTATCTAAATTATATGGAACTTGTGCTGTTTTAGTGTTGCCAATTAAAGTTATTTGAACTATAAATTGATATTACAATTATAACGTTAAAGCAATATGAATTGTTTGATATTTGTTCACCGATTCAACAACATATCCATCTTCATATTCCCTCACAGCGCCCCTGAGCACACATATTGGCCCCGTCTAAGACAAAATGGTGGAGTCATGGACGTTGACGATGACGATGAGGTTGGGGTTGGGGTTGAGATTGAGGCGAGGGAATGGGAGTGGGAGTGGGAATAGGAATGGGAATGGCCATGATGACGAAGAGAGTAGGACACACAGGTTCATTCTCCCATAAATACGCTCAGCGGGTGTTAAATATTTTGTACGACTTCTGCAAGTCCTCGACTTCGAACTCGGCAAAAAGACTGTCCAGGACCCAGAC